AAAACAATCTTTCGTAATAATAATCAAATTGATTGCAATAGTGAATTAAGTATTTTTTCTCTTAGCTTTTGTTATTGAAGTACTACCTATTAATACAATTACTTATTTCACAACTGATAGGCGACATTTTCTTTTTCTGTGTAAGTGCCGTCGAATTATAACACATTATAATGCCATTTGCGGCGGTGGAGAAACTACCAGATAGAAGATAATTTTCTTTAATTTCGGTTTTCGTTTACACCGTTATCTGTGCTCCCTTTTGCGAGTGCCCCTAATTGTTACAGGCTGCGCCTCGAGTATCTGTATCTGCAAGATGCACACGTATCTCTATCTGTTTTCTGTTTCTGTTTTTGTATCTGTATCTGCAGCTCTCGTATCTGCCGGTTATAAATATTGTATCTCTGGCCCAAGCACGGTCGCCCTGTGTTTGTCTGTTTGTAATTGCGTAAACAGACTCGTACATATTTTATTTTATATTTTATTGTTTCGCTCCGCTGCGCAGCGCCATAAGGGCAGATACCTATAATTTTCTTATGTCTTTCCTACAATGAAAACACACCGAGGCAGCAGCAACAACAGCAGAAACTGAAACCGAAACAGGCTATGGCAATAATAATCATCATGATCATCATCGTCGGCGTCATCGTCGTAGTCGAAGTTGTAGTCATAGTCGTCATAAAGACAACAGTCGCGACTGCACTAACGACAGAAAAGTGTGTGTATGTGCCCACAATAAATGCGGAATAAATAAATAAAGTGTAACAAAAGGCAGCCAAATAAATGGAAATATAACAAAACTTAAGGCGAGGAAAACAAACGAAGGAACGCAGCTGGAACATTAAATAAGGGGGATGGGCAGGAAAATGAACTCAGTGCAAGGAAATTATCAAACATACGGAGGGTATAAAATTCTAGCTCTGAAAGATGGGAAATGTTTCTACTCCTTTGGAGGATATCCAGCTTTTACTTATTTTAAGGATTTTTTAGTTAAAATATAAAAGAAATGCCTTAAGACAAGGAGAATAAAACAAATACTTTAATGATATATTGAATAGAACAGCATAATAAATAAAAACTTATAGAACCATTAAACAATAACTAATTTCTCATAAAAACTGGTTCAAATTACAGAGGGCCAAAGTCCCAGCTATAAACTATTATTAAGCACTATCCAAAAAAAAACCTAAGCCGATAAAAAATCAGATTCCAAAGGTATTTCGCCATAAACTAAACAATCTGATACTAAACATATACTCCAGGGCCAATTAGCCAAACATTTTTCTATAATTACCCACCAGCAAGTGCACGGACTTGGGCCATGATTCGATTGCCGTTGAAAAACCCATATATATAGTGTTATAAAAATTCTATTGTCCCCCGTATACGATAATCGTTTTTTCTTTATTTAAACAATCACCGTCGGCCTGTAAATACAAAGATGATTTGGCCAAATTCATTCTTGTCGCTGCGTCACAGACCTCGAGTCATCCAGCCAACTTTATCAGTCAGTTTAATATACGAACTACAAGAGCACTGATCACGTAGCGCCAATAGGAGAGAATTAAAACAAAATATAATAAAAAAAAAGAAAAAAGAAAAAAGAAGGCAACAAAAGCAGTCTGGAGAAATCTTATCAAGGAAATTACCTAAGCCAAGAGCTGGCATCGACGCGACTTAAGATTACAAATTGTTATTATGATTATATTGTTGTATTATTTGCGCGGCGATAAGATCTATGTGGGTTTATGGCCCGCTCGGGTCTGCCATAAAATAAATTACTTATTTATTTCGAGTGTGGCCCGGACGGGCACCGAAAATTCCCTTTTATATAACCACAAGAGCACAAGAACAATTGCTGCAACGTTTATGGCCATGGTCACAAACTAAAGAAATTATCGAAATTGCCTCGTAAATTATAGAATTCACATATAATTCAGGCGACTGAATTCCAAAGTGCCGCCCGCCTTACGAAATCCTTTAATCTTCCAAATGGAAAAGGCCTCCAGTTTTAACCAGATAAGAGGGCCCGGCAACATTTTCCCATTGCCCCTTCATTGGTGGCCAACGATCAGTGGTTTTATGTAAAACCAGCGGACATAAATTTGATTTATTTCCCGGCCTCGGCTCGAATCAATCAAAGACCTCTAATGAGCTGCGGACCGCACAGGAAACAGCCGATGACATTTGGCTTAAGTTCGAGATTTTTTGGACTTCGAAGGAAAGATTCACACGGTCAAAAAAAACAAAATGTTGAAAAATAAAAGAAAACCTTCGTACCATTTCCTCTATTTCTGAAAAAGAGTTCAACCAACCTGCTTTGCATAAAACCAGCTGGATGAACCCAAAAAAGCTGGATTTACACATGGAGCAATTATGACTAACGCCGGAGACAAAGAGATACTGGGAAAATGGAAAGAAGTCGGGGGAAATGGAAAAGGGGGCCCGCCCTTGGCTGTCAAAGAACTTTCAGCACTTGGCAATTTTCAGTAATTTTCTTGCAAAAACAATCGGTAAACGCACAAAAGAAAAGCCAAAGTCAAGGAACTCGCACCAAAATATTGAAGGGGGTGGGGGGATAGGGTCTTTAGATTCCGAGTTTCTTGCGACTTTTCCTGACTGCTGGGTTTCCCCAACGCTGCGTGTGTGTCTCCGCATCTCTCCCTCTTGCCCTGTGTGTGTGAGTTTTCCTCACTCTCTCCGCTGGTGTGTGTGCGAGGTCTATGAATGAAAGTGGGGGGAAACTCGCAAGGGGGGAAATCCCGGCGAGAGAAAATTTTCGGAATTGACTGAGGCAAAAGTTGGACTCTATTAAGTAACAGGCTCTCAGCCGCAGCTTCCTTCTGGATTTTTTGGGTGGCATTTTCCCGCCCCCAAGTGACGTCGTCAAATTTTGGTGGTTTGCGGAGAGGGGGGCAAATAAAATAAGATGGAATGGTGTGCCGACTCAAACTTCTTGCTTTTACTGCCGTCTATTTCTTCTTGATTTTGTTTCTCATTTCATTTCAATAAATTAACAAAGGAACAGTAAATTGGGCGAGCAAAAAGCAGAGAATAATACGAGAAATTCAGGAGGGGAATATCTAAGGGTTTTTGCTCTCTATCTCTAATTCATTTTGCACACATAAATATTCTGACATCTGCTCCGGTATCGAAACTATTTATATTTAGGTGATACACTGAAAACATAGGACATTGTATTACAATTGTGGTTTTAAGAGCTTTTTATTGGAAAATATTAATTTTATGCAACTAAAATTGTGTTGTAGTTAAAATTAAATATTATTACAAAGTCAGTTTTTTTTCTCTCTGAGTTAAACAACTTAAACTGAATTATGAATATTTATAAATCATTTTATCTTAAATTTTGTTTGCCTGTATAAGGTCTACATTCATATTCATGAGACGCGCTCAGAGCTCATTCATTATATTGATTTATTTACATAAGTTTAGATGCATAAGTAAGCAAATGGAGTGCAAAAGTAATGTGAAAAATATGGCAGCTCAAGAATAATGTTCAATGTCAAATATTAAGTGTTTATCGCAGAAATAACAACACAAAACCAGAGACACAAGAATGCAGCCAAAGTGCAAAAGTGAGCGAAAATCGGAGGCGCATTAGTTGCAATTATGGAGAATCAGATGCACGAGACGAACAAATCAAATATTTGTGCGACTTTTGTTTGCCTTGCCATCAATTTCTGTCAATTGTTTATAATTTTGTTGATTTTCTCCCTCTTTTTGTCTCTTTGCCTGGCCTTTTTCCTTCGCATTTGTATGCGTGCATTGTGCAATTTTCGTCATTAGCATTAAATGTTGTTGAATTATTTTTCAAGCCGCTGACGCACTTAATGTCGCGACCTCGTTCCCCCTCTTAACCCCTGGTCTGTTTTCTTATACAAATAGTAAATCAGCTTTAATTTGCAATCTAATAGAAATAACAACGAAACGAAAAGGTAAATGCGACTGGGGTGAATGCAAAAGATTTCGTTAATATGCATGCACCGAGTGCACTTCCCAGCCAAATAACTAAATAAGTGAGCGATTGTCTGAGTTCCACTTGCACGGCGGCATACGCGTCGTATGCGCATTATGCAAAGCTTTTGCGCAGCCTTCGATAGAAAAAAAAAGGGGTCGCCAGGGGTCAAGCAGAACTGAACAGGGAAATGCAAGTAGTCACTCTGTAGTTCTTCACAGTTTTTTCCATACAAAAGTTCCATTCTCTTAAATATAATGATATATAATACTAGAAAGGTAATATAATTGCTATTTTATTGCAAATATCAATTAATATTTATGATCAAAAGCAAGATCGTGCACCCATTACTTTGATTCAGTGCAAAAATTAATGAGCCACGTTATTTCTCAGATCTATGGCAATATATTGTAAATAAGTGGAACACTACATATTAGTCATAAAGAACGGTGATCATTTGTCTCATTTTATGACTTCATGATTTTCTGAGTTAACCTTTTCAATTGCTACTCACTATTTACCCTAAATGTATTTAAAAATTCATTATAATTTATTCAGTATTATTTTGTTCCTTTCATCTGAAGATTTTTAATTGAAAACACTTATTTATAAATAAATATCAGTGATCTTTAGCAATAAGGAAATTTAATTTATTACCTTTCCAAATCTAAAATCTACAGACAATTTCTAAGGAAATGACTGTGTATTATTTAATTTGTTATTAACCCTTAGTCATTTCTTGCGAATACCTTTACATTTATTCAGTCATTGCTGCGATCACTTATCTCTTTGTAATATATATGTGTTAATATGAAATCATTCTTGTTCCTAGTATTGAAAATATTATTTTATTGCTAAAAACTATCTTATCTTTAATAAATTTTGTAGATTGATACAAAAGCCATTAGAAGGCTGAAGTTTTTAACTTATTTTTCGTGACTTGGCAAAATCATTAATTCAATATGGTAAAATTTATTTTATTTTAATAATTAAAATATAAATAATATGGAAATTTATGGAAACTCACCCTCTCTTCTTCGCGAATCATCTCAGCGATTTCCGGCTTGATTTCCATGTCATCGTGATGGGAGCCGACCGACGAGGCGGAGGCGCTTCCCACTGCTCCCGCTCCGCCAGTTGGAGCACTGGCTCCCGATCCGCTTCCCGCTCCCCCGGCTCCCCCCGCTCCCCCTGCTCCCGCTCCGGCGGCAGCTGCGGCCAAGGCACTGGCCATGGCATGCGAGTGGGCCAACTGGTGCTGGGCGGCCAATTGCTGGGCGGCCAGTTGCTGATGGTGCATGGCAGGTGGGGGGGGTGGCACGACGGCGGCATGGTGAGCGGCGGCGGCCACAGCGGCGGCCATGTGAGGCGGTAGAGCGGACTGGGCGGCCACTCCGCCGGGTGGAGAATGCATGGCGGCACTGCTGTTGCCATTACTGTGACCCGAAGTGGGTGGTGGCGAGGAGCAGTTCCGCTGTGATCCTCCACTGGTCGAGTTCCTGCCCTCCAGAGTTTGGGGATTGGGCGAGGCAAAGGGATTGCGCACTATCGTCGAAGTGGTCATGGCCAAGGGTTGGCTCTGGTTTTGTCCGGGAGTGGCCGAGGATCCCCTCTCGGAGACCTCCGACTCACCTCCTTGCAGCGAAGGACTGGGAGTGGCATAGCTGCCATCCCGGGATCGCTTTCTCTGCCTTTGATTCAGATCCAAGGCTCCGTCGGGCAACAAACGGGGTCGCTTGGCCTTCAGCTCCTCATCCGGATCGGCTTCATCATCCTGCCGCAGAATGGCCGTGGCCGAGGCCATTTCCTCCTCCTCATCCTCATCGTCATAGACGGACATGGGATGAGCGGAGGCGCCACCATCGCCCCTGCCCGCACTGACCTCCGCCAGGCCCCTGATCTTCAGGGTTTCAGCCACTTTCAGCAGGGGATTTATCTGATCCTGGCAGACATTGATCTCCCCCTTGTACATGAACTCCACCAGGGCCTTCAAATCGGACCAGTTCACATCCCTCATTATGATAATGGGATGCTGGCAGGGATTATCGTAGAAGAGGGCCTGGAAATAGGGTGAGCAGGCGGATAGGACCATTTTGTGGGCCTTGATCGAGTGACCTTCGCAGGACAAGGTCACGTCCACGAAGGATTCGCTTTGCAGGAGCTCATCGAAGACGTTTGTCAGATTGGATTGATAGTTGTTCCATCGCAGGCAGAACTGCTGATTATCACCACCGCCACTGGGAGGAGCCATTTTCCGGCGAGGAGCCTTCAGCTCCGGATTGGTTTTTATCTTGGCCTCCACGGGCGTGGATCTTTGGCCAAATTCGAAGAGCGCCGAGCCCGCCAGCTTAAGACTTTGTTGGGGCTGTGGTGAAACGGGGAGGGATCGCGACTTCTTGGCCTCCAGGCGCATGCGCAGTTCGGGATCATCGGGATCCCGGAGACCCACGACCTCGCTGGAGGTCAGAGGTCGTGGGGGCGGGGTCAAGGGCTGATCATTCATCAGACTTGCCTTCGGTTTTACCAGCACTGTGTCTATATTTTTATCTGCTGACTTTATATGTGCCACAGGCTCTGTATCTTTTTCTGTCTTGGAAACCAGATCCTTTGGCTCCTCCAAACTGGCTTCCACTATTTTCTCGGGCGAGTATTTACTGTCCGACTCCTCGGTTTCCTCCAACTGAGGCTCTACTGCCACTTTGGGCTCCTCTGCGGGGGCCATTGTGTAGTCATTCGCCTCGTACTGATCCACTTCACACTCCAACTTCATTTCGAAGTCCACAATCTGTTTGGTCATGTCCATGGTGCTGAGAGAGTTTTCCGATTTTATCTGTTAAAGTGCAGGTTTTCCGCGGGGTTTCTAACACATTTTCGGGGGCGTTACGAGAACTTTTCCTGGGAGCAGTTCAAGCGCTGCAAAAAGAGAGAAATTTCACATGACTCTTTGAGGAAAAGATATATTATATACAAATAGACTACTCAAAAAAGTTCAAAGGAATTATAATAATAAATTTGTAAGTCTAGACAATTTCGCTTTGAATTTTAATGGCTTCATTTCGCACTAATTTTCATCAGTATGAATCATATATAATAATGATAAAATTATTTGGTTTTTATTAATTTTCTTGGTTATTTTGTTTAACGCCCCAAAAAAATCTAAAAAAAAAACATTTCAAAATTAATTTTCCTATTCTGTAGTCACAAAATTACCAATTTTGTATACATCCCATTTTCTCTTTTGTTATTAAACATTAATAAGCTGTTCTATAATGATTCTCATAATAAAGGAAATAATTAAATGAAAACAATTCCGATTTAATTGGCCTTGCATAGTTTCTTTGAAATGAGCCTTAATAATATTTGGAATATTATTGCCCCAGCCAATTGAATATATTGGGATCTATAAAATAATATCTTTGGAAGTGTTTTATCCACATCAAGCTGAATCAGCGAACGCATTTGCTCTTAGTCATAACTCTATTAAATAAGCCTATTAATCTTGACCCTCCCCTTCGGCTGAGTCGAAAATTTCCATGAATTTCTATTAATTTATGTTTAGTATTTCCCAACTTCCCCCAAAACCACCCACCTACGCCTCCCACCCCGCCCATCTCCAACCACCCACTGTATCCGCCCCGGCCAGAAATGTGCTTTATTAGCTAAAAGCTAAGCACACATTTATTTATGTTTAATTTGGCTTAATTTATATTACTGAGCTGCAATTATTTGTAGTCTCCTCTGCTCATTGTTGTATTTATACGCATCTATGTGGCATCGCATTGTAATTGTGTGTGCGATTATTGCTTATTTTGTATTGTATTGTTGTCTCTGGATCTACTTGCATGCGCATACCGCCCGTCTATAGATTTATATTTAATTAAATATTATTATTTATGGTAGCGCTGAGAGAGAGAGCGAGAGCGAGCCAAAAGTAATTATATTTATTTAAATATTTTGTATAATTTTAATTTATGTGTGTTTGGCTTGGGTTGGGTTCGGTTCGAGTCGATTCGCTTGGGGGGTGGAAAAGTTGCTGCTGCTGCTGTGCTGCTCCCATAAAATTTAATTATATTTATTATTATTGTTATTATAATACTTCTTCTTGCTACTTTTTATGTTTATTATTATTTCATTCCAATTAAATCTTGTGGCTGTAGCGACTCGGCGTCGTCGACTGTTATTATTTTTGTTTATTTTATTGTTGTTTCCAGAGAGTCATCGTCGAGGGAGCTGAAGAGCCATCTCCCCTCCCCAGTTCCCTTCTTCTGTCTGGTGGCTATATCCTCCTCCACATCCCCTCCCTCATCGTCCTTTCCACTTCGCTTTTCCTCCTCTGCCCAGCTCCTTTTTGGCAACTTTTGGTTTATTGTTATGGCCGCGCTCTGCCTTTTGTTATTCCTTTTATTTATTCATGTTTGTTGCTTTTATCGTGGCTGCTCGCATTAAATTTGATGCTTCTTGGGAAAAACTCGGCCTCAAATAAATAAATAAGTAAATTGCCTAAATGCAGAAAATATATGGGAACTCCAAAGTGGAGTGTCTAAAGTGATTTCTTGATTTTTTTAAGTATTTATTTATTCACTATCTATTATATATCTATGTTAAGACTGAGCTCGAAATAAAAACAGATTTGATCTATGAATTATTAACCTCTAACTTGAACACTTTTGTATTTTTTGGGTTCTTCATAAATAACATTTTCTGAATAAAGAGAATATATTAAAAACTTCAAACTGATTTATATTTTTTTGTTAACTTTTGCTCAAATAAAAGCTAATCAAGACTATAAAACTTGAAACTCTAAGCTGACACATTGAAACTCCACTGAATTCTCGCCTTTCCATACTTCTTCCTGTTTCCTCGTAATATATTTTTCTTTAATTATTTATAGCCAGCGCAGCTGTTGACAGCAATAAAATACAGAAGGCAGGCCACTTTATTTATTTATTATTTCTGTATTTATTTATTTAATTCAGTCTCGAGGTTCTGGATCCTTGGAAGTGGGCACACACACACACAAACACACAGAAGAAGGAGGGGGGGTGGTGTTCAGACACGTTTATATATTGCATATTGTATTTATTTATTAACGCTTATTTATTATTTATGCAGCAAGTAATAAATTACACAGGCAGAGCTCGTTGTTGCTGCTGTATTTTACTGTCTCGGTTTTCTCGTGCTCTGTGGAAAATGTTTACAAACTGTTTTTGGCGCGTGCCACCCACTCGGAAAAGTCGGAAAAGTTGCTCCTTCGAGTGGGTTTTCTTCTTAATTCCTGGGCGCCCAAAAGACCAAGCAGAAAAGCAGCAACACCAACAGCAACATTGCTTTTTACGAGCTTTCGCTGGGTGGATTGTGTTATAAATTAATAAATTACAATTTCTTTGGTAGCGCAAGCAAAATGCGCGGAAAATGTGCGAGGGGTGGGGGGTAATTCCACTGAATACGATTTATATATATATATATATACATATATATATATAGGATAGTATATTGTGGAGGTATAAAATCGATTTTCATTGCAACCCAGTCATTTGTCATTAATAATACACTATAATTAATATAATAATCACCGCACACATACACTTTTGGTCTGGTTTTTTTGTTGTTGTTGTTTCGTTCACTTTTAGTTTTGCCTTTTCTTGCTTTAAATATTAATAGAATACTTGTGTTTATGTTTTTCTTCTTTTCGACTTTTTTTTTGTTCACTGCATGCAACACATGCTGCTTGTTGTTGTTGCACGTCACTTGTTGTTGCTTTTGCTTGTTCTTGCTATGTAGTTGTTGTTGTTGTTGCTTGCTTTCAATGGCCGTAAAAACAAACGTTGCACTCACGCCGAAAGTCAGATACGAACTGAATCTGAATTCCACGGATACACGAACTGAAACTCACTGAAAAACATTTTTGCGATGAATGAAACTCGATGCCGCGCTGCCGGCGTCGACAGCGCTGCCGACCGCGCTGCTTGAGAGCGTCGCGGCGAGAGAGAGTATGGGAGCGAGCGACGACTAAGAGAAAGCGCCGGCGTGCTGTTTTCCGGTTTATGCGGCGAATTCGTTAAGAGTGAAATGTTGGCCTAAGAGAGGTATTTAGGGGTTCTCTTTCGCTTTTGTTGGTTTTAGAGATCTTTTTTTAAAAGCAACTTGAGAATTTTTGAATGTTAAATGATAAAATTTTAAATTAGAACAAGTTTTTTGTACGTTTTAATTATTTGGTTATATTATTTTATCCAATCAGATCTAATCCTATAATACATAAAACAATGTTTTTATGACTGAAAACTGGTAATGAAAACCAGTTTCTTAGAACGTTTTATAAATATTACTACAACAATGAATTTATTTAATATACTATTTTCAGGAAACATTTTAGACATACATTTATTTACCATTTGAACAAAAAAGTATAAGGACCTCCCATCGTTTAATATTTGTCTATTCTTTTTATTACAAATCAGAAACCGGTGTATTTTAATTTTCTAAGATAAGTATCAACTACAAAATTTTAATGTGCTCTAATGTTGAGAAGTAGTTATTTATGGGTTTCAAAAACTAGCCAAAATATATAATTTAAGTAGCTTACTCTATTTTTCTATTCATTTCATACCTAAATAAATATTATAATACGTACTTCTAAAAAGGTTTCAGAAATATCAAACTATCTTATTGCTTAATTTTTGTGTAATGATTTGAACAACTTTTGCGTCAACAAATAAATATTCTAAATTCTAAACATGTTTCTATTAATATTTTATCCCTAAGAAAAGTTTTATAAGTCAAATTGTAGATAACTCACCGAAAATCTCAGCAGTCAAGAAATACCCAAAAAGTGCAGCCTACACCTGCAACTTGAAGAGAAACAACAGCAACTTGCAACAACAGCAGCTGCAACACCAGCAACTACAGCAGCAACAACAACAGGAGCAGCAGCAAGGAAGAAAGAGAAACTGGCCAATGTCCAGTAAGAAAGTGTTGCCAATAGTTGCCAACCCTCTTTTCTTCTTCTTCTTCTGCCTTAACCTTTGTTGTTGCTTTTGATGCTTAGTCACAGAAACTATGGCAAAAAAGAGCAGAGAAAAAGTGGCGACAGCAACACACACTCACTTGGCCACGCCCCTTAAAGTTCCGTAAGAGGGCGTAAGAGCAAGTGAGACAGCAAGATGCTTGCTCCTACACACACACTCACACCCCCCCACACATACGCTCGAGGCAACAACAAAAAAACGGCAGAAAGACGAGCGAAAACGAACGAAAAGCTTCGGCTTGCACTCTCTTCTCTGCTTCCTCTTTCTCCCCCAAAAACAAAAACTTGGAGGTGGCAACAAAAAGAGCAGAAAAGAGAACAAAAAAAAAAAAGAAAAGGAGGCAAAGACGCAGCAAGTGCAGTGTGACGTCACTTTGTAGGCGGCGCTACGAACGCATTTTAAATATTATAGTTGTTGTTGTTGCTGCACACGCACTACTGTAATAGTTGTTTTCATTTGTGTGTGTGTGTCTATCTGTGTGCGCAGCCAATAACAACAACTAAAATAAATCCCTCTTTGTTTGGGCTATATATATATGTAGGTGTGTTTTTGTGGTGCTATTTTGTATATTTTGCATATTTTATTCCATTTGCCCTCTCTCTTTTTGACCTTTTGGCAATCGGGCGCCTTCCACGAGCCTCTGGAAACTTCGTGCTCAACGCCGATTGGCCCGACCACTCGAAATATATCTATATATATATATAAATTTATATATATGTGTGTGTGCGTGGCAGCCCATGAAATACTTTTATATAGATATCTGCATATATAAATCGGGGGTGCACATGGGCTAAAAAACGCGTATCCACTTCGCAAATTATTTTTTAGAGGCCTTCGTCGGCGAATCGGCGACACGAGGCTCCATTTCCCCCCATTTTTCTGGGGGATTTTCTTTTATGCGGCTCTGACGTCTTCAGATGAGCCTTTCTTCCTCGGAAAAAACTAAGGCTAAAAAGAAATAGGCGTTTTTTTGCCTGATTAATATTGTCACCTGTCACCAGGTTATTTCTAGTCCCGTTTGTTTTATAGTTTCAGCTTCAAATGATAGACTGCCTCTTTGATACGTTGTATAAAAGCTAAGATTTTGCTTTTTAAGTTCACTATTTTAAGTTTTTTAAGTTTACTATTTTTATGGGAGTTTTAGAACTAAATATTTTGGGCATATAAAAACAAATAAAGACAAAACCAATATAGAAATATACTTTATTAAAAAACTATAAATGTTTTTAATATATTAAAATTAAATATTAAATTACTTGTTTATTATTATTTTAAATTATAGAAACCTCTTTTCTGGGTCCGAAAAGTATGCAACAAAATTTTGATCAGAGATAAATCCGCAAGAAAAGTATTTTTATCTAAAACTGAAGCAAATTAAAATTATTTCTTACCAAAAATTATAAATAGCTTATAAGTAATTTTAAGTGTTTCCTTTCTACTTCCCATCTCCATTAATTTTCTAAATGGAAAGGAAATAAAATCATAATCAAACTCAAAAAAACATGCAAGCGAGGTGATCGCGATTTCAAGTAATCAAAGAATCAACTAAAAAACTTATTGTAATATTTTCTATCATGGAGCAATATTTCCTTTCCTTTGAAGGGAGATCTCCAGCTTCTACTTCCCTGATTTTTTTTTTGGACAGGCATCGAATCGGAAAAGGGAAAAACGCGACGGCTCTTTCGAGGCGGAAATGAAGGCCCTTTCCGCTTTGACAAGTCCAAAGATGGCATACAGTGGCTGTAAAAAACAAGGAAAACTAACAGGTCCAATGGGAAAGGAAACTAGCGCGCTTCCGTGCAGCAGAAAAGCTGCGACGAGGAAATTCAAAGTGAAATTATCGGAGCAGCGTGAAGAAAACGTGTGGGCAGTGGCAAGGGCAGTGGTGTGGAAACCACGTTAAAGGACATCCGCTGGCAAAGCGAAAGAGTTCAAATTGCCAGCAGAAAATGTTGAAAAAACACCGTCACACACTTACAGTCAAAAGAGAAAGCCATGACCAAAGAAAAGGCGACAGGAAATGGCCAAAGCCACTGAAAATCGAAGCTCGAAATTGACTTATCGATATTGCCAGTACTCTTAAAACATTTTGAATATTTTTTATTTGTTTAAAGGCGAATCCTTGAATTAATATATTTTAGATTCATGGGCTTTTTCTGACTTTTTAAAAAAACTCTTGAGCTAGAACTTATGGGTTAAAACAGAACGCCAATCAATGAAAATGCATGAAAGAAATTAAATTCTTTACAACTTCTAAGTACTGACTACATATATTAATTAACAAACTTCGGTTCATATGAAAAGAGTATGGTTCGAAATGAAATCAGAAGTATAAAGGCAGAAGGAGAAGAATTCAGCAACAGTGAGAAAAAAGTGGGCAAAGGATGTAGGAGATGCCGGCAAATGACTGGAAAGCCTTGCGCTTTCTGCGGCCATCCATAGAAGTGGACAAAAACCTCTCATTCTTTGCCAGTTTTTCCAAGCTGCTCTTGAACGCTTCTCCAAGGCTCTTCAAGCTTTCCCTCCCAGAGACTCGCAAAAAAAAACAACAAAGATGACAATCATAGCGGAGAATAGTAGCCTTAAAGAATCAGTATTGGAAATGTGAATGGGAAATGGAAAACGAGTTAGTGCTAAATTAAAGGTGGGCATGATAAATTACTTATTACTTAATAAAAAAATGTATATCTTCTTAAAAGTAGCACCTTATTTGGACAAAGAATTTACGGTAATATACAATTGAATAATGAAGAGACTATTAATGTTTTAAAGAACTAAACATTCTGATTTCATATGCTCTCATTTTTTTTTGCTGAAGGGCAAGCCAAAGTAGCTTATTTTTATGACGTGATTAAGTGAGGTCTTTCGATTTGCTTCAGAGAGATCACATCTCAGACAATGTAAGCTTTAACAAATCGCTTAGTTAGCGCTGCAATCCTGCAGCTTGTGTGTGTGAGCAACCCCTCCCTGGCATTCATCGCATCCTTTCGCCGCCCCTCAAAAGGATTTCTGCTGGCGGCCACTGCGGCTAAGGCTGCTTAAAGTGTGGATCACGCAAACCAACGAGCGCCGCAAAAAAAGAGCGGCAAATGAGACTGCCGGGCACCGCTGAAATGGAGGAACGGGAATCCCCGGCAGGAGTAACCGCCAGTGGAGGGGCAACAAAAGAAGTAGCCACATCAGCAGCAGCACCACCACCACCACCAACACCACCTTCACTCCAACCACCCAAAACCGCCAAGCCCTGGAGGTCCTTGCTCGGCCTCGGTCAATTGGGTAGCCCTTCTCTAATCCCCCTCCTCTTTTTTTCAGAAAATTGCGCATACGCGACGTTGCCACTCCTCATACTCGGCGAAAAAGGAAAATGCCTGCGTCGGAGGAGGTTTCTCTGCTGTTTTATTTCCCCGACTTTGGGGCCTGCAAACGTGCGCCAGCTAAACAAAAGAGTTTCTAATGATTTTTGCGCCATGTTTGTTGTTGCCAGCAGTATTGTTGTTTTCCAGTTGTTGTCGTTGTTGTTATTGTTGTTGTTGTTGTTGTGATTGGTGGTGCCTGGAGAGGACACGGAAATGAAAATCGAAAGAATTGTTGACCAGGCCTCTTTGGCTGCAGGAGGCTACCGCCTCGTTCTTTCCCTTTTGGCGCCCATGCGAAATGCAAATAAATTCAATCGATAGCCGGTCCAAGTTGCCATTGCCAGAGTTGCCACCTCCGCTCCACCTTTAGGCCATCATGCATGCGTCTGCTGCATTGTTTGGCCTCCCCGCCCTCCTGTGGGTGGGCAGAATCCAGGGGGTGGTGCCTCCTCGAAGTTGCCGCTCGCGAATCCTATTATTTAGAAAAGCAGAGGAGCACCCAGCGAA